ACAACCTGGCAAACATAGAAGCATTGAGGATTTGTTGGTACTTGCTTAATCAATATGCTAGAATATTTGATATTTTGTACTCGGATTATCAGCAATCACAAGGTCGTATAGTTAGTAATAATTTTGACCCAATCGAACTGTTAACAATACATAGTTATGCAGATAATATAGAGAAACGTAGGGAAGAGTGATTGACAAAAGGGCTTCAACTCTTAGGATTTAAGGAACAAAATTTATATTCTGTACAAGATTACGTTAGTGTATTAAAACTTATATTGTCAATAAATAACAAGATACAACATTTGGATGGGTGAGTTGCGCTAGTTGTCGTGAACTGGCCTGGCCAAATTTTTATTAGAAAAGCCCTATACATGCGAACGTTGCCTGCATTACAGTCCTCATTTCCACAACAAATTGAGTTTTTCTTATCTATTTTAGGCCCGCTTCACGTATCCCTTAATAGTAGAGAGCAAGTAATTATGATATACCACTCTTTTTTTGAAAAATTGTTCTACTATGTATTTGGCAAAAATAAAAAATTGGCTAAGAAGTCTCGTTCTTGGCAAGTAAACCTTTTATTAGAACTCGCATGAAATGGTTGGATAAAAATTAAAAACAAAATCATTGAAAAATTTAGACGAGCATGCAAAGATGTCGAGTATCGAGCTGTAGTAGATCTGCTTAACAATTTAGTCCTAGCAACACTCGACGTCTATGCAATTCTGTTTCGATCGGGTTAATTTAGTGAATATGTAGAGGTGATTTTCCGTATTTGGACTTTCGCTTTGCGCTGGAAGTGAAAGAATTACAACAAAGCGCCTCTTGTATTCCTATCTGATTTATTTTACTAGAATGATACTAACCATCCTTTTTTAAATGTATTACAGAATCATTTAACATGTTTCAATGAATATTATGTGGAAAATGTACATAGCAAAATTAGAGCTAATACATCCAAAAACACATCAGTAGATAGTATTATAAAACAAGCCTACTTTATTATGAATCACGATCCTACATTTAAAAATACCTACTGCAAGACACGACAGTACTCATATAATGCAAAGACATTAAACTTTTTATACAATAAAACGGCACTTTTTCTTGTACAACATTTTCAATCTATTTTTTACAATCGCAGAAAAAGTATTCCAAGACCCAATAAAGATAAAAAAAAAAAAAAAAAACTGCTAACTACATACTATCTTGCAACTTTAGAGAAAGATATGGATTTACGACACCTCCCAACAGCTTATAGTACAGTGCATCCTCCGTGTCTAGGATTATGTGATTCTTGTGGGCATTTGCTTGTCGATAACAATAGTATGGTATTTGTTTGCGACCACAGTTATCATAATAATTGTTATGGTGGAAAATGCAAACATTGTGTTGAATATTATAAAAAAGGAATTTTCAAAAACGTTAAAAAATTTTTAACTTGAATCGAAAAAGGAGCAGATACACTTACCAAGAAAGACCTTGATAATGATGATGACGATATAGAAAGTAATGAAGAAGAATCTGAGGAAATAGAGAAGGTTGATATTTCACCTAGGTTGATAATGAAAATGAATCAAATAGAGCATTGGCAACGTTTTTTTTTTTTTTAACAAAAAAAAAAAAAAAAAGAAAATACAAAGAAGTACCTGCAGATTTAACTAAATCATTGG